CAGTCCTTCCTCTTCCTCAGTGTTCAATAAGAGCATTAGAAGGTAAAGTAAGAGAACAGGTGAGTGGCCATGTTGAAGTAAAGGGAATTAGAACATCAGGAACACAGGAAAATACCCAGGGGCATTACAACCACACCAGGCTTCATGGGGTCTTGATGAACATACGTACAAAGAGGAATAGATAACCATGGGAATGATTCTTTCCAGCTGGTGCTCCCCTTTGCCTGGATTATATCCTATGACAGGAAAGTGATAGATTGGTTTCTCTGTGCCATAAAAACATCATCTCTACTCCTACCCCCAATGCAAAGCTATGTCTGCAATTTGCTCCCTGCAGGGCATAGAGATAGATGTCAGGATGCCAGGCAGGCATGGACAGAATAATCCAGGCTGTTCAAAGCTATTCCTCTGATGCTTTGAGCCTTTCAATACATTGTCTCATGCACAGAGATGTAAACTTGAGGTTTTTGTTTGTAATGTTAGGCATTTGTGGTAATGAAAAGTAAGCCACCGGCTTTCTCAAGTGCAGTGGTCCCCAAGGTGGGTTGTGACTCCTTTGGGGGTCAAATGACCCTTCCACAGGGGTCATCTAAGACCATTTGAAAACACAGGTATTTACATTATGATTCATAACAGTAGCAAAATTATAGTTATGAAGAGCAATGAAAATAATTTTATGGTTGGGCATAACAAACTTTCTTAGTCTGCCAGCCCCCAAATCATGACGCAGAGACTTGCTATTGATTATGAATGCTCAGCCTTAGCTTAGACTTGTTTCTAGATAGGTTTTTTTTTTTAACTTAAATTAACCCCTTTCTATTAATCTATGTGCTGCCCTGAGGCTCATTTACCTCATCTACATACTGTCCATCCTGCTTTCCTGTTTCCTCCATGTCTGGCTGGCTGGCTGGACTCTGGTGGACTGCCTCCCCATCCCCATCCCACCCCACCCACGTGGGCTGGCTCCCCTTTTCTCTCTCCCTGCCAGCCCCACCTATCCCTCCTCTAACTAGCTATTGGCCTACAGCTCTTTATTAGACCAATCAGGTGCCTTAGGCAGGCAAGGTAAAATAGCAACACATCTTTACATAGTTAAACACATGCAGCATAAATAAAAGCAACACATCTTTACATAATTAAATAAGTATCCTGCAACCCAAACAAATATAAAACATCTTTATATGGTTAAACAAATATTCTATTTTGCAACAGTTGGGGGGTCACCACAACATGAAGAGCTTTATTAAAGGGTTGCAGTATTAGGAAGGTTGAGAACCACTGTTCTAGTGAAAAATAAAATACACAGAGAAATACGAAAATCTTCCACAGGCAATGTCAGAGGAGAGGAGCACAAATCCATGCAGCCAAGTCACAAACTGACCAATAGAGCAGTCATTGTCAACCTTGGCTTCCCACTGGAGCCACTGAAGTCATCTCAAGTATCCTGAGAACTGCATCCCACCCAATGCATCTTGAGAGACCACTGAAGAGCTGGGTAACTTTTATGAGACAGCAAGAACTAGTGTCTTCAGAGATTAGAATCCAAGAAACTTTGGTGAAGTGCTGGCTCTGTAAAACGAATATCAGCTTTCTTCACTCACAATGTCAAGGACATCAAACCAAACAGTACTGTTCACAATGCTAAGTAATGAGCTTTAGTGATATATTTCATCATCTGTGTGTCTACTCGTTCATTTTCCCCTCCATATTCTAAGGTATAATTTTACACTGAACAAGAGAAAGAAGTGTGGTGGTATGTGCCTTTAATCCTAGGGCCCAGGAGGCAAAGTTCAGCAAATCTCTGAGTTCAAGGCCACCCAGGTCTACATAGAGAGTTCCAGGCTATGTGGGGAAGCGTAGTGAGACTCTGTCACACACACACACACACACACACACACACACACACACACACACAAAAAAAAAAAAAAAAAAAAAAAGGAAAAAAAAAGAAAGAAAAAGAGGGGGAAGGAAAAGAGAAGGAAGAAATAAGCAGCTTTGCTCCGAATAACTTGCTTCCAATCTATTATTCCCTGTTCTCTCTTTGTGAGCTCCGATTGGAAAAAACAAACACCATCAGAGAGGTGAGGGCTAAGAAGAGAAACACCATTGATGTCGATGACGGTAAGCACTGTCAAATAATCACAATTCCTTGTCTGTGAACAGATTTACAAGAGAATGTGCTACTTGACCATCTGTACAGAGAACCAAGCACACGTACATAATCCACCCAGGGGCTCCTTGAGAGGTAGCTGGAAGTTAGGTCCCGATACTGCTTTCAATAATGGAAGGAGTGAGGAACCAACGCCTGGCCCAATGTCTGACACTTGGAATACATGGTCTTCAAGTGTTTGCTGCATATGGGAAGGAATTAGTGGAGATGTGCATGGAGAACCAAGGAGCTGGGGAGATGCTAGGGAAAGCATATGTTGAAAGAACTTGGAAAGAACAACATGGTAAATGTGAGTCAGGAGACTACAAGGTGTCCTCCATGCTGGAAGTTACCTCCTGTAAGCTAGGGACGTGATTCCTGTTTTCTCCCTTAAAGAGGACAGCTCCTGTTATATGCCTGGACCTTGAGCACTCACTGCAAGTTCTACTTAGTGTATAAGCCAGAGCCAGCTGCTTGCCCTTCATATGATTCTTTTTTGCAAGATGATACTGTACTCTAAATTTTAGATTTTGGAAAAAATTTTTGAGATTTATTTATTTATTTATTCATTTATATTTAATATGTATAGATATTCTGCCTGCCTCTATGTCTGTGCACCATGTGCATATGGTGAATACAGAGGCCAGAAAAGGGTACTGAATCCCCGGAAACTGAGTTACAGATGTTTATGAGCCACCATGTGGGTACTAGGAATCAAACCCAGGTCTTCTGGAAGAACAGCCACTGCTTTAACCACTGAGCTATATGTTTAGCCCCTAAATTTTTAGATTTTGAAGTGTCTCAAATGTAGAGAAAATAGGATTTTCAGTTTCCCTTCTCCCCATGTATGACATGGGGTAACATTTCCCTGTCTACATTTTTTAGTCTAAACAGTGTCATTCCATGTCAAACAACACTGAAAATTTTAATACTAAGCACATACCTTTGACATGACTGTCACACTTCAAATTATTCATCCAAAAGTTGAAAATAAAATAAAAATAAATCATTCTTTAAAAAGGATCCAGACATAATTGTGATATAAGCAAAACAAAATAATAGAATCAATGAATCCTGAACACATCCACATATATATTTATATGCAAATCTGTAGTTTGGATATGGCTGACTGAGAGAGAAAGTGGTCAGTGTATCTTCTTTTGGTTTTATTACTACAAATTTTTTGGGGAACAATGTCTCATATATACCAGGTATTCACCAAGTAGCTAAGGGTGACCTTGAACTTCTAATATTATTGCCACTGCATACTATGAGCTGGGATTATGGACAATAGTGGATGTGGGTGCTAAAGATTGAAGCCAGGGCATCACGCATGATAGGCAAGCACTCTACAATCTGAATTGTATCCCTTGCCCCTGCTGATGCTTTCTTAATGGTCGGACTAATATCTGCTGTTCATTCATATGGTATTATAATGCATCTGTGCTGAAATCATGCAGCTTAATCCCATTGTGAGGTATTAAGACTGGAGTCATAATCAGACCATGATGCTTCTAAGTGGCACGTAGGAAGTGATAAGAACAACAAGGTTGAGTCCATGACTGAGCAGTGGGGACTTTGCTAAGAGAGGGGATATCTCTTTTGTGCCTTCATAGGATGTCTTATGCTACTCTGATTTTCTAGCAGTAAAAGGAACATGGCTATATGGGGCCCCTCAAACCTGAACCAGAACTGTGAACAAAATAAACAATTTTTCTTGGTTAATTGCTTAGTCTGTGGTATTGCGTCATTAGCAACAAAAAGATGGGCTAATACAATACATAAGAGAAACAGTCCCCTCATATGAGAACTACAGAGAGATGAGGGGTTTCCATTTAGCCAAATAGTTTGCTAGCAATCATGAGCATTGATATCCTGGGATATCCCAGTCAGAGATATAATTTACCTCAAATGTCACAAGGCCACTGGAAGCCCATTGCCCCCTCAGTCTACTGCCTCAAAGCTTCTGGTGGCCTTCATGGAGAGGGTCCATGATAGGAAGTAACTCTCCTTTGATATCTGAAAGCTGACTGACCTGCTGCTAAGTTTTTAACCCCAAGATGAAAATAGAACAAACAATTAATTAACCTACATGAAAAAAGTGAGTGTGGTATGCTAACTGAGTTCAGGAGGAAGAAATCATTTCTAAAAATCAGTCTTTGGAAATTTTCTAGTTCAGTTAAAATTTCCCACGGGAGTTTATCTGATACACGTCACTCATGCCCATTCAGTCTTTCCTCAGCTAATCTTTACTGAAAAATAATTTAGAGACAGCCACCTGCTTTTGCCATTGGAGTTATTGCACTGTCCCTGAAACAAATTAACACAATGATTCTCAGACCATTATCGTTCACCAGTGTGTCTGGAACAGTGAGAATGCATCTACTGGAAGAACAGACTGACCAAATTTTATGTGACTGTTTCAATGAATCTCCTATCTGCTTCTTAGATGAAGTCTCCAGTTTGGAAGCTGTGCTTTAAAAAGAAGAAAGATAACATCTGCCTGCAGATGGAGCCATGGAAATAATTTATAGGAGCTGATGTTGAGTTGAAAGTGGTGGTAATGACATTAAGCAATGTGGATTGATGGCCCCTCCACAGCCACACATTTGTTTCTTATTTAGTTAATGAAGACCATTTTGGTTCTTTTTCTGCTACCACATGCAACCTTTGGACAAAATAAAAAGCAAATATATATATATATATATATATATATATATATATATATATATATATATATATATACTTTTTTGGAGCGATTCCAAACTTCAGTAGTTTATGGCAATGCGGTAGGAAGAGGCTGAACATACAGTCTGTCACGAAGATTGTCCCTGTCAGCTGTTATACTTACTACAGTTACTCAGGCTGCTGTCTGAGTCGCACGGAGAGCTACCAGCACATGAATCGAGGCAGGAACTGTCGAGGCACCCCTGATCTCCTTCTGGACATGGCGTCTGACCTGTGGAAGGGAAAAAGCCCAGCAGCTTTCATTACCTGCCAATCCCAACCCTCCATCTGAAAGACTAAGAATGTCTCCTGGAGCTGTAGGGTGACACAGCTTTAATTCCCTTCCAGTCTCCCCCACCCCACCCGGCCCCAAATATTGAACACATATGGAATAGGTATGTTCTGGGTTCATCATCCCACCAACTAAATACAGCCCAGTGGCCAAAAGAATTCCATACAAATTATCAAAAATGAGGCAAACCACATTAAAGAAAATAACAGATGGTTGTTTCCAATGGGGAAAAGCGTACACTGTTTTTACAAACGTGCCTAAACTTCACAAAATAAAGTGCAAACAATGTAAGGGCAAGAAGGTAATCTAGAGACATTGACATTCTGGTTTGGAAATGACGTCTTAAAAACACTCATTTGCCCCCAACTCTCCAGACTAAGGAAAATGCCTTCCCTGGTAATCAACAGGGCAGCAACATGAATGCTCTATTTCAAAGATCCTGTCTCTTGGGCAAGTCTTTCACAGCTGCTACCCATACTTTTAGTATCCTTGGAAAATATCATCAGCTGAGCTCTAACGACTAAGATCAGGGCTTCTTCTTTCCAAAGTGGCAGTAGCCTTTGCCCTGATGGCTTCTCCTTAAGGTGTGTGGAGAGGAAACTGCTTTTGCCATTGATTTCCTGGTCATTTGTAGATTAAGTGGATAAAGTCATAAATTGCTACCCATTCTCTTTCCATCTCTCCCCCATTATTATGGTCAATTACTTTCAGACATGCCATCTGGAATCCAGAATATCTTGCAAGGCACTCTTGAGTATAAATAGACATATATGTACACATACAATCATGTTTATCTATATTTCTAAGGCATTGCATATGATACTGGAATTCTTCCTCCAGTTCCACTAGTGTGAAAATGTTGTATATTGTCACCTTGCAGAAATGATGTCACTGTTGTCATTTAAAGCTACTGGGGGCAAATTTTTCCCCCAAGGCAACTTCAACATTTTTCATAAGTGTAAGATCTTTGTGACATTTTAGGACATCATGCATTCAATAGTTCAGCAAATATTAAGTGCCTGCTTTGTGGCAAGCCTATATGACAAGCCAGGAACCAAATACTGAAAAACAAAAGTGATGGGTGATGTCATTCTGTATGCTGTGAAAATGTGTTGCTCTGATTGGTTGATAAATAAAGCTGTTTGGCCAATGGTGAGGCAGAATAAGGTGAGGCGGTACATTCAAACTGGAGAGATAAGGGAGGAGAAAAGAGAGCAGGGAGACGCTGCTAGCCACTGCCAGAGGAAGCAAGATGTAAAGATACCGGTAAGCCACAAGCCATGTGGCAAAGTATAGATTTATAGAAATGGGTTAATTTAAGGTATAAGAGCTAGTTAGCAAGAAGCCTGAGTCATTGGCCATGCAATTCATCTAAATTCATCATTGACATAAACCACTGTGTTTTTACTTGGGGTCTGAGCGGCTGCAGGACAGGGCGGGACACAGGAAAACTTCCAGCTACACAAACAGGTATGGCTACCTCTGTGAATCTCAAAGTCTAACACGGACGGTGTTGTGAGCAGCGCCTCACCAGGCTGTGAAAACACGGCTTTGCCAGAGGTGTTTATCAAGAACAGTTGAAGCGGACTAAGTCAGGAGGGCCAAGATGCCTGCAGAGGTGGGGTAAGTTATCATGAGAAGGAGAGAAGGGCTTTCTGAGCAGAAAAGCAGCAGAAAGAAGCTGTAGAAAAACTCACAACATGATCTTCACTCTGTAGCCTACACACACCTTCCACTTCCTACTTCAAGACCATGTGGTGTCGTGTGGTGCTATGGGTCTGCCATGTTCTTCTGAGCTCCCCTCTTCCTTGAGAGCGCCTCTCATTCTTCAGCTTGACATGTTAGTACATCTCCATCATAAATTTTGTTCTGGGGGCTCTCTGCCAAGCATACAGAGGCACAGCACCCTGAGTTCCCCGCAGCCCGTACTACACAATTGGATACCGTGCGTAAGCCTACCCATCTCATGAGACTGCGAGCTCCGTCAGCTGTGTTGTTAGGCTGGATTCCCAGGAGAAAAAAATGACCCCATATTAGCCCTGTAATAACAGGCAGTATTTATTTAGCTTTTGCCAGTCCTTTGTCCCACACAGGACTTATCATCACCTGAGTGGATGTGGAAACTGTGACCTAGAAAAGTGGAGTGACTCACCTAAAGCCACCCAGGTAGCAAGCAGTAGCCTGGGGCTTGGAGCTCAGCCCCAGGGTGCAATAGCCATGCCCATTCCCACTGTGTGATGCGATACCATACAAACTGATAAGGGCCCGGGAGTTAGTAAGTTTGGGGATATTTCGTCAACCCCATGCTGGGAGGTTTTCAGACAGATCAGATCATAAAATAATCAGTGTGGAACTTGCTTTTTTTTTTTTAAAACAGAAACGATCACATTTAAAATCCAACATGCTTAATTTCCATTTTTCTGTTTAAGTTTCATGCATGGATTTTAGGTTCTTCTTTTAAAGTATATTTAAGTCTGTTGCTTGGCAATGGGAAACATTAAACTGATTCTCTGAACACAGCCAAATTAGGATGCAGTTACACTTAATTTCATGAGCCAGTTCCTTCTTTGGGGGGATCTAATCACATTTAATTGCATGCTATGCACTGAAGTTTTCTCTTTATTAGGCTTTCCCCGTAGAAGACGCAACAGAATCTGCGCATGTGGCTTCATCTCTAACCTGCAGCCTTGGGAATGAGTCTCCAGCCTGTGCAGCTTAAGCATTCCATATTTACCAAGAGAAAAGGTGACCAGGAAATCTGGAATCATCTGTATGGAAATCCTGCCTAAGCAACTTCCAGATGTTCTGTTTTGTTCCCCCAGAGAAAGATCCACCAATCCAAGAATGCTCTGGGGGCCTGGGGACCCTGGGGACGTACTCACTGTCACTGCAGTTCTCCTCGTCACTCCCGTCCTGACAGTCTTCGTCTCCATCGCACTGGAAGGTGCCAGGGATGCACTGTCCACTCCTGCATTCCACCAGGCCCTGGCTGTGACAAGCTGGGGGAGGCCGGAAGACCAGTCAGTCGCCTTATTAATTGATGCCTCTTACTGATCACACAAACGAGGCCCATTTACCAGGTACCACCAACAAATGATTATTATGCGTACTCAAATGGATGTGGCGCTGCTTTCTTTCAAATGTAGCACTACTTTTTTTTCCCCCTCATCCTAAGAATTTCTGGAATGGAGGGTTTTCCTTCTTTCTAAACTTTCTCTTCCTTATAAAAGAGCACTTATCAAGAACGGAGTGCTTTTTAATGATACTGGCAATGATTTTTAAAAAATTGCAGTTTATAAGGGGTGTGTTTTGTGGCAAGAACTGTGGTAGGTGTGTCATACACATGAAGTTCAGATCTTCGTGAAACAGATGTTAGAGCTGTTATTTGCAGATGAGGGAACTGAAGTCGAGCGAACACGACGCCCATTCCTAAGTTACAAGGCTGCTGGGAGGCAGAGGAAGACTATGAGGACAAGCTTGTCGGACTCCACACCAGACCTTGCATTCCACAGCTTCCTTTTAACAACCCAGTGGAATAATGTGCTTGAAAGAACTCCCAGAAAACCTACTACACAGTGAGTATTCAGTGTCTAACTTATTTACCACTGGTAATTGAAAGAGGGGTGTCTGTTTACCTTTAGCTTTCTGATTCTTGTGATTTCTCAAAATTCTATAGTTCCTGTGTTTTAAAGCATCAGAAACCCATGTGTCGTGTGACCTCAGTCTTCCTTGAATTGCCATCTAACTTTAAGACCCGCTTGGTGAATAGAGGCTCCTCACCACATGGGTTTCATTTGGCGCCTTGCTCTCCCCAGTACTTTAGTACAGCCATTCTGTCCCACTGGCTTACAGAGCAAGGACTTCAAATTAAGCAGGGAAAGAGAAAGCCAGGTACCATGATTATGATGCTTTTTATACAGGTTTTCATATGTCGAAATATAAACTATGTTATCTACATTTCTATTTTTGCCTCTAAGTATAAGATATGTAAATATTCAACTTCATATGCAATATCTATCGGTTCTAAGTTTACAGATCCAGCTAATTACAAATAAAAAAAATATTAGGGCAAATATATTTGTACTGAACATGTATAGAGTATTTTCCTTATTATTATTTCTTTAACGATTCGATATAACAACTATATACAGAGCATATACATTGTATTATGTTTTATACGTGAACTAGAGTTGCCGTAAAGCACAGAAGACATGGACGGATTAAGCACAGCACCACGCATTTCCATAGAAAGAGCTTGAACATCCTCAGACTGTGACATTCACCCAGGGTCCTGACGTCAATGCAGACACCAAGGGGAAATTGTGTGCCAACCCTTTCTACCAAGTGAACTAAGAGGTTTTGTTCAAATATATAGCGTGAGATGCGTCATTTTAATCAGTTCAGGTCAGTTGTACTATTTCAACAGTTGATGTAACTTTTACTATGGACTTTTTTCATTCCTGTCTTCAGAGGGATAGCATGTTAACACGAGGGAAAACATGGTTAACAAGCATGCTTGTTATAGGTTGATGCAAGAACAAGTTTTCACGTATCTAGAAACATAGCCTGCTATAAAATGCTAATTACTATCACACTCTTTCTGTGTTACTATAGGATCGGCACAGGCTGCCTCCTCTCTGGCACTTCTCCCATGTTCTCCCACAAACGGCCCCTGAGAACATGGCTTGGAGGCTTGGCTGCTCGTATATAATTTGCAGAGAAAGGGGGACTCCCTGGTCTCTGGGAAAAGAATTGCCTTTGGAAAACTCCCAGACACATGAAGGATACAGGAGCGGCAAGAGAAAAAGCAGACACTGCTGGGCCCGATCAGCCAATTTAAACTTGGACTTTGGAGCAGAGGGGTTTGAGGTCAGAGCTGTATGGATACTGTTCTCACACCTCTTGAATGCTCCTTTCGTAGACAGAAGACAGAAATCAGATCGATAGAACCAAAGCTTAAGCAACCATCCTCCCTGAGTGCTGTTTACATAACGGACTTTGGTTTCCGTACAAGTCTAAACAGGAACCAAAAGAAAAACAAGCAAAATGAGACTTCCGGTGGCGGGGGCCGGGAGGGCACTCACAGCAGTTGACCTCGTCAGACTTGTCCACACAGTCGTGGTCCCCGTCACACACCCACTCAGCCGCAATGCAGCGCCCATCCCCACAGCGGTGCTCTTTTGTGGGATTGCAATCTAGAGAAAAGGAAAAACCATGAAGTCGGGGAGAACGGACATAGGAAACACTTAGACGGGTGCCCACAGTTCCAGGTGAAGAGAAATCTACTTCCGTTATTTCAGTTCAGTCACTGATGTTCCTAGGATGGCTCTGGCCAATTTCGCAAGCTACCTTCCCACAGGCCACGCCTCACGGCCCACACTCCTGTGGGCAAAGACCCATTTGTTTCTCAGGACAGGTGTCCTAATTGTTGGCATGTCTCACTTCCTTTGTTTAGGGGAAAAAAAAAAAAACTACGACTTTTACAGTGAGTCAAGAGAACAGAAGTAAACTTCGAGCTTCGAGGGATGCAGATGGCTGATTGATGTGTCTGTAACAGGCCTGCTGTGTTTCTAAGAATTACAACATCTCCCTGGCAAGCTGGAAAGATGAGTGTCTTCTTATGTCATCCCTCCTGATGCTAAGCCTGGGTTTTCTACTGGATTATCCTAATCTATAGTTCATGTTTGAAAGAACTGCTAGGCAAGGAAGGAAAACCATTATTATTTTTTTTATGATTTCTTTGCATCTGGATATATACTCTGTCCCAACCCACACATTCCTGGAATGTGGCAAGTAGGGGAGCTTACTAAGTAGCAAGTTTCCTCTCTTAAAGTGAATAATTCATAAACTGCTTTTCTCTGAGGGGTATTGTAACATAAATATAACAGTTCTATGAAAGATAAGGGTTCACAAATAGCAGATGCAATAATGAGAAAGTTTCTTGTGTCTCCAAGAATGTGGTCAGTGCCATATCCTTCTGAGCACCAGTGGATCATAAAAGGTATTGTAGAGAAGTAAGTCAGAGAATATGGAAGGCATGGTGTGGGGAAAAGAGGAAATCACAAGAGAGGATGCTTGGGTGGAACCAGGAGATCCACCCATGCTCAGTCCATTGGAGAAAGAGGGCAGAGCAGAGACTGATCCAAGGGAGGACTATAATTTCTGCTATCTAATGAAGAAATCTTGAAAGCATAGACTTTGCAACATCTGCTTATCTTCAGAGGCCTTTGGTACTAACAATCCTTTTTTACACATGTACACTACCTACTAACATACCCATCATTTAAATTCCACATACTATGGTACTTTCCCAACCTCCTAGTTGTTACTTCATTGGAATAGCAAGGGCTGTAGACTAGATGAGCTATAAAGGTTCTTCACACTAGATTCTGTGATGGACAAGATGGCAGTTGTCTCCCATTCTTTGTCCCAAGTCTAGACAGTCCTATATATATCTAATAATTAGTTAGTAGATTGTACACCTAGAGTTTTTAATATTTTATGGATGCAGTAAGGGGAAGTTAGACAATACTCCTAGAAACTACCAAATTTCCCACTCCAAGACATTCTTTGCCTCACCCTCTAATCCTTTCTAGCATCCCTTTAGATAGTCTCAAATGTTGACCATTGTCCAATATTTGTCTTCATTTCAGCTTGTCCTTTGGTACATATTACAAATTTCCTATTGTCAATAATATATTGCCTAAAGTATAAAGCTAATATCAAGCTATAATGATCAATAAGCAAAAGTTATTTTGCTGGTTTAGATTCAAAAGACATGATGCAGAATTAAATATGTTCCTTCAATGGAAGGTTTACATTTGGAAAAACAAAAAAATCAGCATTTGTACATAAAACCAATCTGTCATCTAACCTTTGGTGAATATATCACATAGGGAGTCGCTAAAGTCATATGCTGTGGAGGGTGGGAGCCTTGGTCACATGTTATACTTTGTAATATATCTCTCAGCAAAGTTTTGCCCAGGAGCTCAAAATCCAAATATAAGCCTGCTGTAGCCAGAGGATAAACAGAACACGACCCAGAAAAACACTAGCACTTTAACAATCCCATCGTCTTTCCACTCTACTTCCTTAACATTTCCTTGGTATGACTGTTAGAAGTAGGGTGCTGATGCAGAAGACACGGCTCAGACCAGTGGTCAGATAAACTCTTCTTTCTGAAAAGGGAAGGTTTGTTTTGATTTGCAACCTTCTAGTCACTTGGTGAACAGACAGATATGTGTTCTTGGTCATAAAGACCTGTGTGGTCTCTAATAAAACCCTCTAAGGAATCAATGCTACTTACCACAGTTTTGCTCATCGCTCAGATCTCCACAGTCATCATACCCATCACACACGAGGCTCTGGTTGAGACATTTGCCTGTGTGGCAGTGAAACAGATCTTCACTGCAGTCTGCAGACAAAGAGAGTTACAGATGTGTCATTGAGGAGCACACTACACTAGTGTCTAATTGGACAAAGGCTAGGATGGGACAGAAACCTTGGTGATGACCCAATCTATGCCTCTCGTCTTACAGATAAGGAGTTAGAAAAACCCAGTGGCTGGCAGAGTCACTGAAGAACCACCACCAAGACACTGATTCCCAGTCAAGTTCTCTTATCTCTTTCTGGAAGTCTTTATCTGACTTTTACTTGCATGAAAGATCTTTGATAATAAAAGGTGAGATAAAAAGGTCTTCTTGAGTCACCATAGTAACTAATGTAGCCTAGGTTTATCTGGAGTAGCTGGCTTTGGTGGACAATGTGCCATTTCTAAATATCTCCTTTACAGGGCAAGTCTAGGTTGGTATAAATGTAGTGAGGTGATATGCCATCTACATTGGAGTATTGCCATTACTTTCTGCATAAACATCAATGCTTATGTCAATGGGTGTTTCATAACATGATCCTCAAGTAAGCAAGCACTTTCCCAAGATTATGATGGCAAAATGAGAATTGGTATATGTAAAGCTTAGGGAGCTTAATATTCAATGTGAAAATAAATATGTGACAGGAAAGGGTTTTGTGAGTGAGAATCCCTGGAATAAAGCTATTAGACCTCAACAATATGGAGAAGTTAACTGTTGCAAACCCAAACTATCTTAAGCCATCTTGACCACCATGAATAGATACCCATTGCCCTCTTCTTCATGTGACCGAGCATATTGGTGATCACTGGGTAAGTGTTTTGGAATGTTCAAATAGACCACTAGCTTTCACCAACCAAAAGGCTAAGACTGCTGTCAGCTAGCATCTGAGGCCTATAGATGAGATTTTCCTGCTTTCTGTAACCTACCTAATTGATGTTTCCACCAATGTATTTGAAGTGTCTTGACTTACAATTTTTATTACTCTGTTACTATAAAACTTCATGGAACTGTTACCATGTTGGAATGTGGTACTTGGGTAAAGCTGAATCTGTGTTCCTGGGCCAGGTCACTTCATATTTGGCTCCAGAATAAACCATCTCCTGTGTTCCTTTGAGGTGAGAACTGTTTCTTCTGCTGGCTGTTTATCAATATTAGTAGGAAAATAAGCTTTGTCCTTGGGTAGTCTATAACTCTTACATTGGTTCCGACATCTACTACCTGTGGTACTTCTAGCATGTTCAATTCTTCAAGCCTATAAATTGGTATCTGAAATTGGGACAAGATAATGACATTATGGAGAAGAGCACACACATACACAAACACACACACATACACACATACACATACTCACACACTATAATAGCATGACAACCCAATTGCAGGTAGAAGACTTGACAAAAAAAGCCTATTTCGAAGATACACAAACAGCTAATTAGTACATTAAAGGGGCTCGATATTCCTAGCTATTAAAGAGATGCAAAGCTGGATCACAAAATGATTCTGTCTTATATTCAATGCCTATAACCAGGAAAGCAAAAAAAAAAAAAAATCCAATAAAAATTTTGTAAAATAGAAACTCCCATGCATTGCTGAAGGAGATACAAAAAGATTCCACTGTGGAGTTTGGCAACTCCTTGTGAAGGAAACTGCAACAACCTTGTCACACATCTCATTCGTGTTTTCTGTTCTTAAGATTCTGTCTAAGAGAAATTCAACACAATTCCCACAAAGACTTTTATGTGAATATTCACAGCAGCCTTATTCATCCTAGCCCTAAACTGGAGGAAGTCCAAATGTTCACCAAAACAACAAAATATAGTCTATGCTTATAATGGGACACTATTCAGAGATTGAAGAAATCAAATGCCTGATCTAGGTGACAGGATTGGTTAACCTCGTAATGCTATGCTTAGTGAAAGGAAACAACATCAAAGTCTTTACACAGTATGACCCATCTATGAAACTCCCAGAAGACAGCAGATTTATAAAGACAGATTTCAGAGCAGTTTTTCCAGTGTTAGGAGTGGGGAGTGACAGAAGATGGGGAGGAGGGAAATTTGAAACGAATTGAAAAACTTTGATGACTGAATGAATGGTGATAACGGTCACACAAGTCTGTAAATTCACGAAAGTCTAGTAGGTGAAGATTACAATATATAAATTATATCTCAAAAATCTCTATGAAGCATTTTGCCCATGTTTAGTAACTGGATTTCAGAAATGTGTTCTCTACTTTTTCTTTATTCAAACTAAATAAATTAAGTGTGAAAATGGGTTGTTATGAGAAGGTTGTTTTCCCTCCTTTAAACTAGAGAATGAGCAAGATCATGCTTCTTCACATTGTTGAGAAGGATCATGAGCCATGAGCAGTATCTCAGTTGAATGGATGCAATGACAGATATGATGGTATTGTGTTCCCCAAAATATGTGTACCCTAATAAACTTATCTGGGGTCAGAGAACAGACAGCCACTAGACACAAAGGCTAGAACATGGTGGCACTCACACATTTAATCCTAGCATTCCAGAGACAGAAATCCCTCTGGATCTCTGTGAGTTCAAGGCCACATTGGAAACGGCCAGGCATGGTGACACATGCCTTTAATCCCAGAAAGCGAACCTTTAATACAGGCAGTGGTGGTAGAAAGCAGAAAGGTATATAAGGCGTGAGGACCAGAAACTAGAAGCATTTGGATGGTTAAGCTTTCAGGCTTCTAGCAGCACAGTTCAGCTGAGATCCATTCTGATATAAGGACACAGAGGCTTCCAGTCTGAGGAAACAGGACCAGCTGAGAAGTTGGCCAGGTGAGGTAGCTGTGGCTTGTTCTGGTTCTCTGATCTTCCAGTTCACCCCAATAACTGGCCACAGGTTTGACTTTATTAATAAGAACTTTTAAGGTTCATGCTACAGACAGATTTAATATGTTTCAAGTAAAGGAAACAGGAAGAACAAATGAAAGAGGTCAGAAATGAAGGCTGATGAGGACCAGGGATTCAGGGCTCAGCCCCCGAGTGCCCTAAACTCAACAATTGCCTAGCATCCTGCGTCTCACACAGGATGTGGTGAGCACAGCTTTAGTGCAGCAGGCTAAGCTCAATAACAATGATTATTACCCAAAGTCTTTGCCACCAGTTTTCCAACTTCTCTCCAAGTTCTAGTGTTCTAAAGCCCAGAAGAGTGACTATAGTCTATACTATATTATACCTTAGAAGAGACTGAAGAACAAGCATGATGAAATGATACCAAATATGGAGGCATTTGATCATTATATAGTCTGGATATTACTGAGTTATGACACCATACTCAATAGTATGTACAATTGCTGTGTCAATTATAAATGAGAGGTCTTTGCCATTGATCAGTTAAACAGTTCATAAACACCTATTTCAAAAAACTTTTCTTCTATGAGGAACTATCTTAACTTTTAGAATCACCTCATCTCAAGAATGACATGGGCCTTGTAGATTCTCTACAGTAATTTCATTAAGAATATATATATATATATATATATATATATATATATATATGTATGTATATACAACTGTGGGAGCCCACAACTGACTCAGTTCCCCAGTTTGAATCTGAAGTCTATTCTGAGTCAATAGAGTTCAGGCTTGCTTGCTCCAAGGCTGTGAGAAAGTTCTGATTAGCCCACAGAATCTCCTTGAAGGGCTGTGAGAAAGTCCTGATTAGCCCACAAGAAGAAACACACCATCTAGCTAGACGCAGGCTGCTGATGCCAGCCAGAGGTACATTGAGATAGAAAAGAAACTGCCTGCTCCTTGACGCAAGGCAGGATAGATAGTGGCTGAATGCCTGTGCTGTGCATTGTTCTACCTCTGTCCTTCAAGACTGTATATAAGCTGGCTGTGAAATAATCTCGGGGCTGTCCAGCATTGACCGGCAGACCCCTTGACTCTTTTCTGTCTTCTTCATTGTCTCTTCAATCCGCACGCCTCTACCCTGCTACCCAGCCGACTGTCTGCAGGCCTGACATAAAACACATTACACATTTACATGTGTACAGAAAAGTTTAAGAACTTTTTATTTTTTGTTTCTCTCAACCTGAGTAGTTTTCAAGCAAGGATGGAATGATAAAGGAAAATGTAAGAACAAGAAGAAGTGCCAGTCTTCATATTGACAGTCCTGTTTCCTCCTGTGCGACAGAGAGAACTGTCTTCCCATGCTGCACCCTTATGCTGAGTGAGGTGTGACCGACAGCTGAGCCCAGGAAGGTTATGACCTTGCTTGCTTTTGATATCCACAGAGCAGAGTAGGGAGTGTGTACTGAGATAGGTGTAGATTTTTTGTTTTGTTTTGTTTTGTTTTGTTTTTGTTGTTGTTGTTGTTTTAATGAAACTGCTTAAAAGGTCTTTTCATTTTTGTTTTGTTTCAATCTAATTATTTTTAGGAAGTTATGAATTAATTTGATAGAACAAGCATTAACCAGAAAAATAGTCTTCTCAACTTAACCATCAGTGTAAGAGTCCATGCATCCTCCAGAGAGGAGAGGGGAAGATTGGAGACCATGAATAAAATTCTTTTCAAGCAGCGTGTGCTACTTTTTCTGAGAGCAGGGGCACTAGGGAATCAAATACTCCATTTAGCATCTGATTAACCTAAGAGCACACCAAAACTTTCCAGAAGTTTCCATGTCTTCTGTGAAGCCCGTTCTGGATCTTTTGATAATCCATACTAAAACATCTCATCAGAGATCTATTTTAAGATCAGCACTGTCATTTGCTAAACTACCGTAGGAATGGAGAGCACACAGCCATTTAGTTTGCAAAACTCAATGCAGCTTCTGTTGTCACCTCCTCAGTGAGAAAATCCTCTCAGGAGTCAGATACCAAATTAGCTGCACTTAGAAAACTGCCAGTTACTTCCGTACCTCCCCTCAGATCCATAAACACTCAGAACCCTAACCAAGAGGACCATGTAGCCAGGGACCCACAGCAAACAGCAAAGATCACAGTGGCTCCTTTTATTGGAGTAAATGTTTATTTGTGCTGAAAAGAGATGTGGTCAGCGCAATTTGGGGCCA